GGTAAAAAGATTTGTTTTACCTGGTAAGATGATTCCCAGTGATGACAAAATACGATCGACCAGCTCATTCTTGGCTGTAGGAATGATGTTAAGTTGATGCAGAGTTCTGTCACTGGTCCGTAAAATGGAAAATAAACCCCACTGCCTGTCGCTGCGTCTGAGGAGATGCACCTATCAGTTAGTGTTATAGCACATTCATTAATTTTGCTAGTCAAAGCCACTGGGGTTAACAACTTCCTGGCAGAAACTCTGAATAGTGTAAAATATTACAAAAGTAAGGACAAGCATAATAGTTCCCCTTTAAAAGAACAGACGTGTTTTTCCTGGTTTTATTCAATCTTGACAAACACACAATAGACTGAAACCAGTGCAAGTTCTTTCCTCTTGGTGCCACTAATGGCTAAAACCAGTTAATTGTTACAGCCATTATATTGGAATTAAAAATAACAGAGAACCAGTCATCATTGCCGCTAATGGAGAAACACGTCTTCTAAGTACTTTCTTGCCAGATGGGCTCATTATCTCCCATTTGTAAGAAAGGCAGCAGCTTGGTTTAATTGAACAAAATGGACTTTTACATGTAGAGCTGCATTCATCATGGTAAATGAGCTCAGCAGTAATCTAAAGTCTTGAAAACCTGCTCCGTCTCTCCACTTTTGTGACTGTGCATGAAATATTGTAAAGCAAGCACTTCTCAGACGTTTATTCTTTTACGTATTGGCTGCTGCTGAGTACCTCTGCCACCCCATCATTCATGGGCGTATGTCAGTACACCCATGATTCTTTGGGTCAAATAGATTATTATGTATGACTGGTGAAAGATGTGTATCCACATACATTGAAAAAAATAGGTGGGCTGTTCTTTACACACCCAGACCTAGTGCTGCATTTTTTATTTTACTCTGCACAACTTTTCCCGCAATTACAGTTTAGTTATTTTAATCAGCATTTTCTTTTGTTTTTACAGTAGTCCGTGTTTGTACACAGGAAATACAAGCTAGTTGCATGCATTGTAACTCATATAGAGACATCCAAAGAAACAAGTCAGGGAAACGGAGAAAAGACACGGAAGTAGCCTAATAGTTGTATCAAAGTTTATTGCATTGAATTCTAATGCATGCTGGCTTTTACATTTTGGACTTTTGTTTGAGGAAATGTTCTCTAAATGGACCTCCTTGATCTGTATTTGAATGATGATGTAGATGATAGATGTAGCTTTTAGATCTGAAGTCAAGTTGACGCAAAATGGCCTTAAATCTGCATTCTTTATAACGACCACCAGGGGGCGATGACTGAGGTTGCAAACACAAGTTCTGATGCTATAGAAGAATATGGGAAATGTTTTATTGATGATTTGATGGGCTCGGTCTCTCCATTCTGATCATATCAAACATGTTAAGTTCATTTTATGTGTTTATGTGTATGTGCATTATACGTATCACTGGGATTATCTAGGATATGTTATAGGTTCTGGGTTCACAGTAAAATTTACAACCCACCAGTCACCTTTGGTTTTAAAGCACCAAAATGGAACCAGTGAAAATACTCATCCTGAAGCTTCTTAATGACATTCAAAAATAGATGGATCCAGCTGCTGTGGTAGGATCCATCTTTTACATCTATAAGTAACGATGCCATTGGTTGCATTATGTGAAACAGGAGCCAGGTGTAGGTGTAGCATGTTAAACCCTTTCAAGTTTTGGAAAGAATATTGAACATTTATTCCTCATTCACTGCATCCTGGGTTCTAAATTCTTCTCACCATCACCGCCGTGAACCACTCTGTATGCTCACCAGTATTCAGGTGGATGACAGAAAGCATACAGACTGCTGCTAAAGTTTTCTCTCTGTCACAAACTTTCTCTGTGTATGAAGTGTTTGAGCGAGCAGCTTTCAGAGGTAAAATCCCCCGTTCGTCCCCACATGTTCTGAATGCAAAGCAATTCTGCGGCACTGAGGAAACATTTGATTCCATTAGACACCACAGTGAATCTGCTAGTTTTATCATCCATTGAGCAGCCTCTTTGCAAAGCTTTGTAGTGTAAGACATAATCATTCTGTAAGAACATGCGTCACACTTGTTAAAAATGGCTTTAATGAGTGCCTTTATTGGCTTTAATAGGCGCTTTACTTCCATTGTAGTGTTTATTGTCTAATAGCACTTCTGGTTAGCACGGCTGCAGTCTGTTGTGTTACTAAGATGGTTGATCTATCAGGCATCATAGCTGAGACCATTCTGAATGTTTCTCGTTATGCTGGGAAAAAGGAGAAATTGTCCCTCATTTTAAATTTTGACTTCAGCGAGATTTTGGGATTAGTTTAGCTTGTAAACAGGATTATTCAAAACTGTGTTTCATAAACATTTCAGTAGAAATCTGGCTCGGCCCTGCTTAGTACTGACTAACCTTTGAAGTTGATCTGGATCCAGACACCTTTAAAAGGGCTCTTTATCATCTTTATCATCTTTATCGTCAAAACCTTTAAAAGTTCCATTTTTTCCCCTTTAGTTGACAAAACAGAGGATGAGCAACAAAATGAGGAGGAGAAAATGGTCAGGGGTGGATTTGAACCTAAGATTGCAGTCTGTTGCCAGAGAGTTGCCAAACAGAAGTTGGCATTTTAAACCATATCTAAAAAATATACCAAATACTTCATTTTTACACTGTGCTGCAACCATGCTATGTTTCTCAGAGCTTGTGTTGTCAGCTAGGTGAATTTAGAGTTCACTCAGCACCTCGTAGGTTTGAAGCATGAATTCTGTAAACCCTCCAAAATTAGCGACACAGTTACCAGAATTACCAGAATAACCAGAATACGACGGCTGTCAATCAGTTGAGCTGAGTCCCCTATCGCCCTGTGGCACATGAGTTGCGCTCGCAACATGTTGGCAATGTAAATGCATTTGTCTGTGCAATTGCCTTGTGATTGAACGACTGTTTTACGCGCAACATCTGGATGACCAGCTGGTTGCTGCAACTACATGCAGTTGGTTGTTGAATGCGAAAAAAAAATCAACACATTCACTGGTCAACCACCTATTTTTTCCATTGTTGCATGGAGGTTTCCGTCCTTGTATTGTCCGTGTTTTTATATTTAACAGTTATAACCGCTCACTTAAGACAGACAGTCCAACAAGTGAAGTGAACCCTCTGGTTACAGATGAGTTGCCCTTAGTGAAATGCTAAAAAAAATCTTCTGAACTGGCTGCAGGTGGTGACAGCAGGTCTCTGAAGGCTGACTGCAGCTAAATCTGACAATCAGCCTTCTTTAGTTTAATGTAAGCACAGTAAAAAAGTGGTTTAGGACAAAGATGATAGGCTTATTTGATCACTTTGATGCCACTGATGGAGACAATAGAAAAGCATCCTGACGTTTAACCGTCTGCGATGGCGTTGCACCTCCATCCTGATGCCAGAAGGTCATACATGTAGCTGAAGGTCATGCATTTGTATTTGTTTGTCACCAGTGCGGTCAGGATACATGTATCACCTGGGCAGGTTCATTCTGGCGTAACAAAGCCTCGCTAATGATGTTTGTGTCCAGACCTAACTGGATCTCCTGATGTGCGGCACTCAGTGCTGCCTTTAATGAGATCTGACTCGCCCGTGCGTCTGGGGGTCCGTGTGATACTGCACCTGAACCTGTCACTATGGCAACCAACAGGTTGCGTTTCTACAGTGACACAACCCTTCTGTGTGTCTCCTTCACTCCGGTTTCTTTGCCTCTGTGTCTCTCATCTGCATTGTTTGTAGAAGTGTTTTTTTGTCAGATGCTAAATACTGACACAGTACAGATGTTTTTTCTGCGTTGTACCCAGCAAAGGTTTCAGGTAGAGCCCAGATGTGTTCTAACTGTACACCTAAGATGTTTGTGAATGTGGACATTAGTAATTTTTATTTTTAACAACTGGTTAATGTAATTTGTGGTCGTTTTCAAAAAAGTAATATATATCACACGTTACTTAATAACTGATTTTTTTTCTCTACTCACCAAGAGGACCTGAAATGTTTTATAATTATGAGTGAAAAGCACAAAGATTAACCTTAGGCTAACTTCAGTCTCTTAGTCCTACACACTGACCGAATTCCTTATTTTGAAACACATGAAAAACTCTGCCAGTGTGGAAAAGTAAAAAGTCAGATGTCACGTCGATTTTGTTGTAGAAATAGATACAGATAGAAATGGAGAGTTGAAGTTGGACTGCTTTTTTTGGCACTTATTCTGTTCCCTGTTAAATATTTGGCTCATACATTCATCTGTAACATCGCTCTATGTGTTCACCTGCTGATTTTGCAGATGTTTTGCAAAGATGTGATGTCCTGTTAGCATCAGAGGATAGTTGTGTTGTTTCTGGCCTGGACCCAGGTTTCACTTAACTCTCACTTCTTCTGAATATTTTTTTAGCTCAGAAAAAGTGAAAGCGGGTGTGAATAAATTATTACCATTATTACCATTTCTTACAGCATGACAACCTACTACATTAGATTTTTTTTTATAGATCAGGGCCTGAGTAACCCAACCTTACGTTTTTATTAAGGTGTTTGTCACTTAGATATAAAACAAGCTCAGAGATTAAGCGGGTGTTATAGACAGGGTGATTAGTTTATGTAAAAATGTAGTTTGTTGTTGTTCTGGTTTACGTGCTGAAAATGGTTTTTATTTGTGTATGTTCAATGTGTTCGACTTGTACATAGTTAACCATATATGATCAAATAATGTTGAATCCTGGATATGGATTTGTAAGCAATGAAATTTGAAATAAGGGGGTTGGAACAAGAAAAGTGTAAACTTCATCCTACTCCTTTTCGAGCACACGCTGTAGACAAAGACATATACATGAAAACTTGATGATTTTTAAGTTTTGTTTTTTGTTTTTTTTCTGTTGTTATTTCAATTATATTTGCATGTTCGAAATGAAAAAATTATATCTATCTATTTAAGGCTAAAAACAGCTTAAGTAATCACGTTTTGATATTTAAAAATGCGTATTTGTTTTCTAGTCTCTCCAGAGGTGCTGGGGTTTCTGACAGCCATCGGACTCTTCATCATCCTCATGACTTTCCTGTTTTGGTACCTCAACAATAAGTTGGCACTAGAGAACCCAGGAAGCCTTCAGTGCCTTGATGAATTCAGGAAAACCACTGAGCTGCAAGGTGAGCATGCATACATTTAAAATGAAAGCACATTTGGTTGTCTTTCTTTCACATCTGATCTTCTTTAGTGCCTTTGATCCCAGCACGAGGCC